GAGAGAGAGAGAGAGAGAGAGAGAGAGAGAGAGAGAGAGAGAGAGAGAGAGACAATGGTCATTTGACTAGCTCAGAGTACTTCAGTCGGTATAAGGAGCAGCAGATACCCGTCGACTAGGACTGTGCTAAGTGCACAACACCAGAGTTGGACATCAGCTGAGGATGGCAGTTTGATTTCAGTAGACTATAAACTTCAGAGGCCCAACTAAGTGTCCCTCAGGTCATCCGGCAAAAAAATGGAACGATACAGAAGGCTAGCATGGCCCCCTACGCAAGGATGACACATATGAATCGAGAAATGGTCCAAGTTAAAAGAAAAGGGAGTCCCCTCTTAGTGCCCGGCCCAAGAAAAGAGGAGTGTCCACAGCCACCAAAGGGTAGCCACACACCAAACAGTTTATGAAAGTGCAGTTTGCCCATGCAATTGCCACCGGATAAAAAATACAGTCAAACAGGTGCCATAGCTGAGTCTCAATCACGCACCGTATCACACATGACTCTGTTCTTCCTCACGACCATCTTTCCTTCCTGTTGAGTCCACTCATGGAGGGCTAGTCACAGGAAACTATGAGCAACCGTCTGTCAACCAAAGTAGAATCAGTTAGCTGTCATCCTGTGAGCATAGACCATGGCCGGCGACAGTATGATGGACAGCTGGCCAGTCAAACAGACAGTCAAAAAGGCCAGCATTTGCATAGCATGTTGATAGAATCTTCGCTAGGTTCATCAGGTTCAATGAATATGCACTAGCAGCAGAGGCTATATCTGCAGAAAACACCAGAATGTTGCAGAATGAGAATAGGCCAGCAGGAAGAGGTGAAGGGAACGAGGGTAGTGATGGACAGCTGCATCGGGGAAATAAAAAAACAATGGAAAAAAGGACGCAGAGAGACAAGTTGCAAGGGATAATGTAGCCACTCCTGGAGCAAAAACTCAACAGTGAAGGCTTGAGAGAAATAGAGGCTAGGGAACCGGGAAGAGACGGCGAGAGATGAATGAAGAGCCGGAAGATTCGAAAGGCAAAGATGCATGGCATGCAGCCAAACTACCAATTGAATGCAACACTGGATGAAAACAAGGACACAAGCACACACACTTGAACAGACCATATTACGCGGAGAGATGAATGGGTCGCCAGAAGATCCAAAATACGAAGACATATGGGGAGCAGAGACTATCTAATGGAATATTGCACACAAACAAGTACAGAAACCCACACAAGGACATCAGCCCGCACTAAGAATATGCACACACAGGAGATGTTGCACACCCCCTCCTCCTGCACACACACACACACACACACACAGTGAACCACGAATAATAATACGATGAGAGAGAAAGAGAGAACCACAGGAGAGCATCAAAAGAAGAGATCACAGAGTGTGGAAGGTTACAAGTCTTGTGTAGCCAAGCATGCATACCATTCCAGACTGGGTTCAATGTTTGCAGCTTAACCGATGATGTCCGTGTTTTCCCATTGCATGTTATCACAATGTATGGATCTGAAAACCCATGCGGACTTGCATTAGGCAAAGAATGTGCTTCAAGGACTGTGACTGTCAGCAGCCATGAATCTTCATGTGTCTTCACTGCGCTGTCATGTACTTGCCACCATGTTGGCCCTATAACGTGAGGTCAAAATACGCAAAAAACGATGCAAAGGTGTGTGTCGCAATGAGAAACAGTGACAACACAGAACGAAAGGGACAGAGTGAGAAAAAGGCTGGCCAGTGTACCTGAGCAACACAAGGGAAGCAGTCACCTAAGAGAACCACCTTAATAACAAATGATCTTAATGAAGGTCGTTCCTCTCTCTCTCTCTCTCTCTCTCTCTCTCTCTCTCTCTCTCTCTCTC